AGCCTCCCAAGAGCTGGGATTACAGGCGCATGCCACCATGCCCAGGCTCAATTGCTGTCTCAGCGTGCCCCAGGGGCGGAGCCAGCACAGCAGGCCCAAAGATCAAACCCCCAGCCCCTGTGCCTGCTTGCAGGCCTTTAATCCACTGAGCTATTTGGCCGGCCCTTGCTGTTTCTATAAATGAATCTTATATGTTTATGTCTAATAATCTGAACAATTAGAAGATAGCATCATGTAATACAGCAACCACTGTTGAAGTCCTATTACTTTGTTTAGTGAAATCTTGTATCATTTCCAATGTTTTCTTTTTTTTCCCTATCACTATCCTGTATTCTTTAAAAAAAAAAAAAAAAAAAGTCACAGTATGCCCATCACTAGCCTTACTAGACACAGGCACCAAGCTCCACGCTTTCCACACACAACTCTTCCTAACAGTGCGCGCTGGGTGCTACAGTTATCCCCCTATGCGCAGGACCAGGGATGAATCCAACATCTTCACAATGGGCTACGTTCCTGGCCCTTCTTTTATTTGAGACCAGGTCTTGCTAAGCTGTCCTGTCTAGACTTGCACTTGCGATCCTCCTGCCTCTGCCTCCCCACCAAGCACCACCATGTTCAGTTACTGTCCCTGTTCTTTGAAGAAATAAAACTAAAGCACACGAACACAATACACAGAGCTGAGACCTGAATTCTTTGGGCTGCAAAGTCTATACACGAGTGACAGCGAGCCTCTTGGAGCTTTTAATGATTCAAACAGCCCACGGTGGCATGCATGTCACAGGTTCGCTGCCACTGCTGGCTAAAAGTCTGCCACATGTCATTCACCCTTTCACCCATTTGCCTAACCAGCTGTTATATGTGCTCGGTCCTAATCTCAAGGAATTAAAAGTAGGATGACAAATGAACACAGTATTAAGTGAAATCCTCTAAGAGATGAGCCATGGTCCTGCCCTTTGAACAGAGATGGATGTCACCGTCCCTAAATAGTGGTGGTACTGGAAACTGGGACCTCTGACAGGTGGAATCACCATGAACAAGATCATGTTGTGTCTAGTTGTCCCTGCAAAGCCTCACGCAGTCATGGGGCAGCTTCTAGAATTTATGATTAATTCATGATCCAATGCAGGGGCCGACTACGGGTGTGAGTGCTACACCTGTCCTGGGGTAGATAGCCTGAATTCAAGGCAATGAAGCGAGAGAGGCTTGCTAGCAGCCTCAGCCGCTGCTCCTCCCTTTGCTCTTTGCTGTCTTCCACCGCCATGAACTGCTGCCCTCTGCTGCGTGCCACTGGGTATGGACTGAATGAAACCTCCACT